ACTCAGGAGGATGGGTGTTGGAGGACTTGGTTTTGTGAGGGTTGGAGGACTCAGGATGGGTGTTGGAGGACTTGGGAGTTTGGGTGTTGGAGGACTTGCATTTCGAAGGGTTGGAGGACTCAGGATGGGTGTTGGAGGACTTGGGAGTTTGGGTGTTGGAGGACTTGGATTTTCAAGGGTTGGAGGACTTGGGTTTCCGGGGGTTGGAGGACTCAGGATGGGTGTTGGAGGACTTGGATTTCCAAGGGTTGGAGGACTTGGGAGTTTGGGTGTTGGAGGACTTGGGTTTCCAAGGGTTGGAGGACTTAGGAGTTTGGGTGTTGGAGGACTCGGGGGACGGAGTTGGAGGACTCAGGGGACAGGGGTTGGAGGACTTGGATTTCTGGGGGTTGGAGGACTCAGGATAGAGGTTGGAGGACATGGATTTCCAAGGGTTGGAGGACTTGGGAATTTGGGTGTTGGAGGACTCAGGAGGATGGGTGTTGGAGGACTCAGGGGACGGGTTGGAGGACTCAGGAGTTCAGGTGTTGGAGAACTCAGAAGTTTGGGTGTTGGAGGACTCAGGGGACGGGTTGGAGGACTCAGGGGACAGGGGTTGGAGGACTCAGGAGTTTGGGTGTTGGAGGACTCAGGGGTTTGGGTGTTGGAGGACTCAGAAGTTCGGGTGTTGGAGGGCTCAGGGGACAGGGGTTGGAGGACTCAGGAGTTTGGGTGTTGGAGGACTCAGGAGTTCGGGTGTTGGAACGGGTGCCGTCCCTCTGGATGTGGTCTGCGTGGGTGTTGTCCATCCGGCTGTTGTCTGTCTGGATGTTATGTGTCTGGGTGTTGTGTGTCCGGGTGTTGTGTGTCCGGGTGTTGCGCGTCTGGGTATCAGATATCCGAGTGCTGTCTGCCTGGGTGTTGTCCATCTGGCTGTTGTCTGTCCAGGTGTTGTGTGTCCGGGTGTTGCGTGTCTGGGTGTTGTCCATCCGGCTGTTGTGTGTCCGGGTGTTGTGTGTCTGGGTATCAGGTATCCGAGTGTTGTCTGTCCGGGTGTTGTGTCTCTGGGTGTGGTCCGTCTGGCTGTTGCCTGTCCGGGTGTTGTCTGTCCGGGTGTTGTCTGTCCGGCTGTTGCGTGTCCAGCTGTTGCGTGTCCAGCTGTTGCGTGTCCAGCTGTTGCGTGTCCAGCTGTTGCGTGTCCGGGTGTTGTCTGTCCGGGTGTTCTGTGTCTGGGTATCAGGTATCCCAGTGCGGTCTGTCCGGGTGTTGTCCTGCTGTTGTGTGTCCGGGTGTTGTGTGTCCGGGTGTTGTGTGTCCGGGTGTTGTGTGTCCGGGTGTTGTGTGTCCGGGTGTTGTGTGTCCGGGTGTTGTGTGTCCGGGTGTTGTGTGTCTGGGTGTTGTGTGTCTGGGTATCAGGTATCCGGGTGTTGTCCGTCCGGCTGTTGTCCGTCCGGCTGTAGCATCCCGCGCGTCCCGCCGCCTGTTGCGCCCTTGACCCCCAGCACTGACCCACACGGC